GTATCAGACTGAAGATAAATAAAAGACTGCTTCATGGTTACTTATTGCACACTTGCGTATAGTGGCTCTGAAAAACTTGCAGCTAACTCCTTCCTTGGAAAGATGATGGTGCAACCCTTATTAGATTTGCTCATTAAAATAATACATGTCTTCAGAATGAAAAGCCAACAGAAAATGAGAAGAAACAGATGGGAAAGATGGAAATAGATTGCCTCAACCTTTAGCCCTGTGTCAGGAATTTTTTTCTGCCTTTGAAAACATTTGGTTTAGTCTTCTGACTCAGAATTTCAGAGGGTTTTTATAATCCCTCACTGGTGCACCTGTCGGTTAATCCCTTGTTATAATCTATTTTGGATCGCCTCACGGGGAGAAGAGCTGATGGACACAGTCCCAGCCCGCTGCAGACTGGCAGGATGAATTGTCCCTTGGCTACCGAGGAGGACGCACTGGAGGTCAGGACAGCTGTGACACGGGCTGGCGTGACACCCAGGAACCTCTCTCCCCAGATAAAGACAAAGCAGGGCAGAGGATCTGCGATACCTCCCTGCATCCTGCCTCGAGAACGTATTATATGCTCCTATTTCCTATGCACGCTGCATATTCTACTTCTTTTTTTTTTTTTTTTTTTTTTTTTCCCCTTGCTTTCTGAGCTTGCTCTTCAGACTGTCCTTTAGCAACGCATAATAAATTTAACCTTGCAATGTTTTGTCATGACCAGGCTAAAAGCTACAAGAAAGCATAAATGGACTGATTCTAAAAGAAATTAGTCTTACTCCAATGTAATAAAGGTGTTTAAAATGTGGTGAACCTGTATGTTTCCACTGCCTTAATCACCGCAGACATTCTGCATTTTCATGGCTTTTGGTCTTTCTCCTTCTGTGTTTTTAAAAGAAATGCAAATATACATTCATAACAAAACCTAAGAGCTGCCATTATCTTTTTTCTCAGAAAGAATAGATAGTATCAGTTTAGTGAAAGTCAAGCTAAGGTAAAATATACAGCTATACGAGGTAGAGACAAAAAAAAATACTAACTGGAGATTTCTCTTAAAGTTTTATCTTTCCCCCCTCTCTTTTCTTTTTTTTTTTTTTTTTTTTTCCTCCCTTAAGTTTAGAATAACATTTTAATACTTGCTTACGCTGCCAGAGAGCAACTTATGTTACCAACATAAGTATCTAGGTACAAAAGCCAAACCCTGTATTACTGTAAAATAGCAATAAGAAGGTAACAAATAGGTGTGCATAGACCATAACATCTTCAACTCATTCCATATGTAGTCCACCCCATAATTATCTGTCACCAGAGTATTGTGACAAACATGAAAATTCCTGTCTTCCCATATCCATCTGCAGAGCCCTGTTTTAATTTTGCAGCTTGTAAGGTTTGTGGCACCATATCAGACATCCTTGTTCACTTTGCAGGCTGCAAAGACCAGCATTTGTGTATAGCTTCTTAAAAACAGGATAATAAGTTGCTCTTCCATAAAATCTACTAAAGAAAGTTGGTTTGTTTTGTTTTGTTTTGTTTTTTTTTTCCTGCTGGCAGTACCTTAGACATAACAAGATGGTAATTATGGGGAAAGTGGATGTGTAAATGGTGGTGCACTGTGTATAAGGTGAAAATCTGACACACTACAGACTAAAATAACACTTTTTATCCTCTGGACTACAGATTTGTCTGTAGATTTATTTTTATCACTTTTTTAAACAAACAAACAAACAAACAAACAAACAATAAACCAGTAAAATTGCTTTGAAAACAGGAAAAAGAGACAAAACATTAAAAAATCCCTAAAAATCTATAGAAAATCTGTAATAAGATTAAGATTGCACTCTCACTCATGTTTGAGTATTACTGAACAGCTACTGAGGATCTGCCACTCGATACTCCAGTACTCCCCTAATGATATGGGAGTGGCCCAAGTCCTCTGTACTGTTCCTGAAGCATTTTTGTTTATGAAACTTCATGCTCTTGATTTAAAGCAAAGCATTTATTGAAACAGAAGAGAGTAACCCAGAGATCCATGGGGAAATGAGTCCTTCCAACCTTTGCTTTCTTAGACTGATTATCAGTTAATTTATAAGCATATTAGAGGTGACAGGGATCTCTCAGGAAAAGATAGCACCTCTTTTTTTTTTTTTTTTTTTTTTTTTTTCCAAAGTGGATGTGGGTAGACCCTTACTTACTTTGCAGTCCTTACAAACATTCAGCATTGGTTGCTTTGTACTTCATTTTTAAAAGATTTAATCCCCAATTTGAAGCTATTAGACTTCTAAACCAAAGATATCTCCTGAGTGAATTTGTTGCCAGTGATTTTTAAATAGGAGTGCACTAAAATCAAAATTTTGACTTCTGGCACAGTGCTTTAATGGCAAATGGCCTTCCTGGAGCTTTAACTCGTTCAAGCTGGAACATCCACAGGGCTGTGGGTGGAGATGGAGTGTCAGGAAAGTGTTTGGGGAGGAAAGGCAGACCTCCCCTCTGTCCAACATCCTTCCCATGAAAAGCAATCCACCCTTAGCCAAAACCTCAGAAAGAGGCTTGCTTGATAGTTTCTTCCCAGTTTCTTTTTTATGGGAGAAAAGGAGTGCTCTGCAGTGATGCAAGCAGGAGAGGGTTGCTCTCCCGAGAATTGTGACTACTCTCTCCTAATAATAATAGAAAAGGCAAGCAATCTAAGTATTTACAAGAATTTGGAGCAGAATGCAATCCAGATTCTTAAATTGGATGCACTCAGTTGATCTCTTGCAAATTTGTCCACTTCCCTTTGGAGGTGAAACTCAATTGTCAGACCAGGGTTTCTGAAGGAACAGCATTCGTTCATATGGATCTGAGGTGAGAAATCATGGCTGAGTGTTCCTTCAATAACATTTTATTGGGTTAGTCCAGTGTTAACTGCACAATACATTACATAAAGCAATAGTAATCAGATAGGCCACCAGGAATGAAGTTGATCCACTTGCTTGTCTAGACACCGACTTTATCTAAAAGAATGTGCATGTATAGAGGGGAAAAACCCAACAAAACCAGAAAGATGAAAGCATAGCTTTGTGGGTTTTGGGTGTACTTTACACCTCAAACACACTATACTGTATAATTTCAGCACTGCAACTGCTATCAAAAATTTTTGAAAATATTGACACCTGAAGCCTGATACAGGGTTGTCTGTTTAATTACTACTCTCAGGCAGGACGTCCGAGAGTCTGGAAAGAAGGAAATATTTTTTTCACTGAGGAATAGAAAATATTTATTAACACGTAACCACTAAAATCAATTAGAGATTATATTCCTGAAACAAACAAACAAAAAAGCAGTCTCAGAAAAACAGAATATTTTAGCAGAAATGCATCTTAATTCATTTCCAAAGGTGAAAAAAGCAAACAGTTACTGAAAAAGCATCTGCCACGCTATATAATGTTTCAGTAATGCCACAGCTTTCCAAAAGTCAAAATCAACACCGACTTGAAGAAAAGCGTTTGTTACCTCAGGAAAATAAAGCTCAAGATTCCTACCAGAGATCTTTTCCAACTTTCTTTACTGACTTTGGGGAACCATATTCCTCACCTGCTGAGACCTTTTCTATTAACTAGGCCAATTCTAAAATAAAATAAACTATTATCATTTGTACATTCCACTTACTAGTAATTTCCATGTATTTACACCATGTCTCAACTGTTTTAGTAAACTAGTAACAAAAATGTGCGTATGTTAAAGATCAAGATCTAAGCCAGAGACGCAAAGAACTAAAATGCAGAGTTTCCCTGTAAATTCAAGAAGGGGTCCTGAATGGAGGACTAAGGCAGAGCTCAATCTGAAACTAGATTCACATTCGGTGACTTCTACTGTTTGTGGAAATGGCATCTGCATGTTCTTCTGCAATAATGACAGTGCAGTTCAAGTTGAAAAGGATACAGCAGAAAAAGTAATTTAGATTCTGCCTTCTGAAGCCTAATTCTGATCTACAGTCATCAAACAATCAATTTTAAATAAGAGGTCCTTGAAAAAGAAGAAACAACCCTAAATATTCCTGTCATTTCCCCCCCGCTCCTCGCACCTGCAGTATCTGATTAGTCAAAACTCAAATTACTTTATCTAAAAATTACTATATGTTATTTTCATGCATCAGCATCTATGTCATCCTATGGTGTTACGTGATGACTGCATCTTTTTTAATTTATTGACGCTTAGCATGTTTCTTTAAAACCTTTCAATTGTACAAGTAATCCAATGTACTATGATTTCTATGCATTTAGTGAACCTAATTGAAAGAATAAATCAGCCTGCATTATTTTAAAATTTAAAAAATTTTGGGACCCTTGTAATTTGCTTGTCCTCTCAAATTTCTCCATACTTTTTTCTACATATTGAATATTACCTCCTTCAAATATCATGCCCATTTATTCCACAATGTCAACTAAAGAGCAGCTGACTATTAGTGATGGATTGTCTTAAGATTACAACAAAGCAAGTGACAAACTTTTATAATAACCCTTTCCCTCCAGCTCTTCAGGCAGTATTAATTTGCATGTAAATTAATAAACTAAAAATGTGGAAGCACCACTCAAGGGAGCTAAGACAATTTCACGTTATTCTAGCAAGTTTGCTTGAGGAAAACATACTTTTTCCCCAGTCTTGGACACTGGGGAGTCTTGCTTGCTTGCCTTCTGGATGGAAAATTCTGAAAAAAAAAACCAGTTTTTCCCTGTTGAAGCCACAGCACTGTGCTTAAGAGTTACAGGAGCTGCAGCAGTGTAATCACAGCTGTGGGCCTCGGCTCCCAGGCTAAGGCTGTGCTAAGGGCTGCACAACCGTCTCTCACTTGTCAGTACGCTAATATCCAGCCACAGTCAAAGGCTTTGGGTCTCTGTTATTTAGCACAGCATAAATAGATTCGCAAGCCAGAATCACTGACAAGACATCTGATATGAAATATCACTGTTTAAAATATAATAATAGGGAAAACTGAATAAGCGATAAGCGACATCTAAGGTCTTACTTACCATAAATTCCTGTTGAAATACAGGGAAATGCCTGTAAAACAAATGAAAGAAAAAAAACAAATCAGTGGGATTTCTGTTTGCCGAACTTTTTATCAAAACCAAGGGTATTTTTAAATGCCTGCTTTTCAACACCCAGAGATTACATGTTGTAGCCTTCACTGTTACAGCAGTCAATTCAAAGGCATTTTCAGGTCATTATATGAAACTTATTCCATATGAGCAACATTTGAACCCAGAATCATTATTAAAACTGCCTTTTGAGCTAAAAATTAATGCCATGAGCTAAAAATGAATGCTATAATCTAGTGCAGCAGGAAAAAAAAAAAAAAAAAAGTCACATTCTCTGGGTAGAGTTAGACAATGTTTCTTCAGTAGTAAAATTAGCTTAAACCCTGCCCTGGCCTTGCCTGACTCTTTGCCATGCCCTCGTTCACTATAACCTCCTTTTTTGTTTAGGGGCCTTTAATTTTTAACCTCAGTTCTTTCAGACATGTGGTTTATGGTGTGACCCAGCACAGTTGTACTGGTACAAGTCAAAGGCTAGCAAACTGGAGCGGGCAGAGGAACTAGAAGATGCTGGGTGAAAAGAAAGGGTACATTTTTGGGTCACCTTGGACAACAAAGAAAATGTATCATGCAATAAGAGATGGTTACAGACACTGTGCCAGCAAGAATGACAATTTCCGTTTCTCCTAGCTGTACGTGTTTGTCTAGAGATTTGCATTTCTGTGAGCCAGGGTCAGCTTTCCACCAGAAGAAACCAAAGCTGTGGTTTCACAAGAGAGACAATTTTCTTTGTGTGCAGTTGATATGTGAGATCACCTTTGCCTCCCACCCCTGGACTAACAGCAAACACAGCTCAAAGGTACAAGAGCACCTGGGACCAGAGTTTCAAATATCCGCCCTCAGGCTCCCTCCAGATCCCCTGGCGATGAGTCATCATACAAAAGAAAGGAATTCTTCTTTACTTAATCACACAGGAAAACATTATTCAAAAGTAATGCTTGCTTTATATTTAACCAGGGAATTAATTAGGGAATGGTGATTAAGAAAGGAGAAGTCTAATGGAAAGAATACATCCTCCCATCCCCTCTGAAAATACTTAAGTAAAATAAAGTAGTGGAGAATTATAGTCTCATTCCTTCTCACAACCACTACAATTTACGTCCTGAAAAATACTTAACTTTGTAGTTTGTACCCAATAAATCACAATGAATCAGCTCTTTAAGAAAATACGGAATGGTAGAAAAAACAAAAGAAAACAAAAAACCACACAAGGTTACAGAGCTCAGGCTGAGGTGGCAACAGATCCTCCAGCAGTAAGAGAGAGGCACAAAGGATGATTTTGTCCAGATTAGCAACAGATTTTAAAATTCACCACTGTTGAAGTTTCACATGTTCAGAGATAATTGCTCCGAACAAGTGTTTTGTTTCCCATTCTTTTCCACAGCTTGAGCAAGAGCACGTGATTTAGATACTCTTACCAGCCACAGGGGACAACTAACGGAGTATTCAGGGTTCCTTCTCCCACTGGCCCCACAATTCTGGGCAAGGGAAAACAGTCCTGCAGCACCTCTGAAATCCCGTCAACCCCCCGGCTCCCTGGGCGACACCACGGAGGGCGCCTGGGGGAAGCAGCCCCTCCACCCGCAGTGACTCCCGGTCCCCGCCCGCGTGGCAAAGCCACCCAGCTGTGGGACCAGGGGCTGGGGCGGCTGACGCGCCTCACGTTTGTCCGTCGCCGTTCACAGAGGCTGCTTAGCAAGCTCTAGCTCTAGCTCTAGCTAGAGATCTGTGTGTTTCTTCATACCTACTTTAAGATCACTGTGCAGACACGTCATAATCGTTACCTTGCTTTCAGTTTCTGTCACGCAGCTGAAACGTATCTGAACGGAGCTACAAGAGCGTGTAAATTCCCATCAAACGCCTTCCGAATACCCGTCTGTGCCATAACTTAGATGAGCTCTGCCCTCTCCCTCATTCAGAGATGATCACAGCATATAACCAGCAGATGTAATTTCGTAAAATGTGACAGTGCTCTTATTCATTCAAGAAAGGCCCGTGCCCGAGATCACATATCAACTGTGTTTCCTCTTGGCTCCTAGGGAGACAATTTAGTCTAGATGCCAGGTTGAAATTACTGGCAGAGCGGTAATGGGGAACTCACAGCATGGATATCAACATACTACAATATCTGGCTTATGGACAAGAGATGTTAAGGTTTCTAACCTTTTCTGTGCATAATAATATCTTAATTATATATTTGATTTCACTAAAAAACTCAGTTTCACAGTAGGAAACATTCATTGCTATTTTCACAATAAAACATTTCTCATCTTAATTTGTTGCCGGTAACTGCTGTTTATTGACTAACCTTTAATTTCTTTGCTACTGAAATAGTGTGTTTGCTTTACTTTGGGGCTAATAAGAAATGCTACCCTGACAGCACACAAAGCAGACACAACTCTGAAGTAAAACACAAGTAATAATGGTGAGAGCTTCCTACTACTATGTTGCTGCCATCATCTAGAGAAAGAGGCCAAATTAAATCAGCTGTGTGAATACTGTAAGACAGAAATTGATTTAATTCCTGTAGGAGAGGATGTGGGCACTCAGCCTCTGGTACTTTTTAATCTAATGTTTCTTTACTAAGGCTACAGCAGCAGTGCTAATGAGGATGAAATGTAATGCAGTTTCATGAGGAAAATTTACAATAGTCACCATGCAGAGGCCAAGTTGGACTCTAAGACATTTCAATAAGAGGGACCTGGGTATTTAAATACTTAAGGGCTTGCCTACAACAAGAGGTTCTAGTTCACACTGAGCTGCAATATATTAACTGCTATACATTAGATGAATACAATTGCTATGTCTACATGACCAGATGCCTCCTACTGAAGTCCTAATAATTGCTTCCAAAGAGGAAGGATTTTCTTCAAATTAAGCGTTCGGCATTCTGCACCAGCATCCCAGCGTCATTTCTGCCACGACCAAGTCACATAGAAGGTAAGCGCTTTCCTTCCAGTACATAACACAGCAGACATAAATAACATCAAACACAAATTGAGCGTTCTCCAATTTCACTGCATCACCTCATGAAGCAGACTAACTGATACTTACGTTTGAGAGCCATTCCTTCATGCAACTTGCACTACTGAAGCTTCACAAAAACTCGTGAACTTTAAAAAACATTTTTGTTTTTACTAAAATTGCAAGTAGAAATAATTTTTATCTAATTGTTCAACAAAGTCAAAAGTTCTTATTATCTCTGTGTTGAAGGTAGTTAAATGTGTTACACAAAACAACACAAGCCTCTCCAGCAAGTTCAAGGCAACAAACGTTCCCTCAGAAACAAATTGGCCATATACTTTATACTTTGACTGTTTTTCTTGGTCACTCTCCTTCCTAGCTAGGGCCTGTGCCACCACTGCAGAAAGCCTTGCATCTGAACAAACTTGAGGATGTTAAAAAAGACTACCGTTCTCAGTATCTTGGTCTGGGGGAGCTGAGGAGCAGTAGTAGAGCCTTCATGCAGCGAACACGCTCTATGTGTCCCCAGCGCTCCAGGACCTGTGATAGAGCCATATCTCTAGAGGAGCAGATAGCTGACACTGGGAAAAGATTTATTCAGCAAGCAGCTCATTCCATTGTGATCTCCAGAACTTGCCTCTTTATCTCACTGTTGTTTTCTATAATCTGAGGCAGCAGCCAGCCTTTGCTCGATGAAGATGATGCTCTCCTGTATCAGGTCAAGCTGGGCTACTTCCCTTCCCCTGTCATCTTTCTCCAGAGCCTGTGAAGCCTCCTGTGCTCCTGAGCTGCCTGCCTTCATCCCCTGGACATTTCTAGGAGTTATCCATTCACAGCCTCTCTTTCTGACCTTCTCCCTCTTATCTGTCAGCAAGTGGGAAGTTGCTTGGGTCTTGGCTTTGAGAACTGCACCAGCGCAACTCTTTTTCCACAGTGGACAAGAAAATGATACACAGTTGTTTCTCTTTGCCTGTTTTTTATGGACCAAATACAATTAACTCGCCTTCCACTTTGAAAGACTATCCCAACAGCACCTTAGCAGCATTACTAACACTCAGACCAAAGAAAGACACGAAGCTCCAGAAACCTAAGTGCCAAAACAGTCTCCATGTCAGGTAAGCAGAAACTTGAATCCTTGCTTCAGTAGGGGAGTGCCCCACTCCTGCCACTCAGAGGACCTGACCCAAAACTCATCTGAACTGTGCTCTCTCATAGTGCCTCAGTTTATTATGTTTAAAGTTGGACTCGAGTTTTTGTTTTTCAGCTGCCTTCATTTATATCAAAATATTACAGTAAGATGAGTTCCTCTGTGCAATAGGCATTCTTGTCTTAAAAGGAGTACACTGAGCACCTCCGCTAGTTTATTTGTCTTACAGTTGGTGATTGCCTCATGAGCTGAAGTGGCAGGTGAGTGGGCAGAGAGAAAATTGCTTGTTTAAGAGCAGCCCTGACAACACTGCTCTGCTGTGATTCACGAGGGTGAATGCCAGAGGGGAGCTGCAGAGGTAAAACAGAGGGTTCAAGGTAAAGCTGCCTATGCTAGAACAAGCTCTGCTGCATAAGGTGTAATATGGGACGTTTTGCACCTTAAGTTCCCATGTGTGTTACCAAAAACTTCACTAACATAAATATGTATTTGTAATACTTTTGTAGAACATCACAGATTAATAATGCTATGGTTTCCTTGGGATTTTACCAACTCTTATGACTTGTCACGTCCACCTTTAAAATAAACCCCAAACTAAAGTATTCACTGCCTAAAGCCTATGCTTTCTGCCAAAACACCCCCACATGTTTAAATAGCATGCTGTGGCACGTACACCATGGCATTATGAAGTGCTGTTATCAAGACTGTGGCACAGTGCTCTGAAAGCTAAGTATCAGCTAAGCCACAAAGTAAACTAATTTAAATGGTATTGATTGTTTGAATAATGAATAACTTATTTTCACAACAAGAATTTATGACAAGAATCTAGAGGTGTGGTGGGGAATATAGTGGTG